ATTCAGGACGCTATGCGAAATTTCGTGCAAATCGAAGGATACAAAGGGACTTTGGTGCACTATTTACCGAAAATCGGACGAAAATATATATAGGAACTATATCTAAATCTGAACCGACATCCACGAAATTTAACACACATCGTTTTAAACTTAATTCAGTACGCTGTGGCAAATTTCGTGCAAATCGAAGGATATATAGGGACGTTGGTGCATCATTTACATAAAATCGGATGAGTATATATATGGGAGCTATATCGAAATCTCGACCGATTTTCGCGAAACTCGCCACTCATCATTCTAGACTAAGTTTAGAACGCTATGCCAAATTTCGTGCAAATCGAAGTATATATAGAGACTTTGGTACACCATTTACCTTAAATCGGACGAAAATATATATGGGAGCTATATCCAAATCTGAACCGATTTTCACGAAACTTAACACACATCATGCTAGACCTAATACATTACGCTGTGCCAAGTTTCGTGCAAATCGAAAGATATATAGGGACTTTGTTACACAATTTACCTTAAATCGGACGAAAATATATATGGGAGCTATATCCAAATCTGAACCGATTTTCAGGAAACTTGACACACATCTTTCTAGACTTAATTCAGTACGCTATGCCAAATTTCGTGCAAATCGAAGTATATAAAGAGACTTTGGTACACCATTTACCTTAAATCGGACGAAAATATATATGGGAGCTATATCCAAATCTGAACCGACTTCACGAAACTTTGCACACATCATTCTAGACCTAATTCCTTACTCTGCACCAAATTTCGTGCAAATCGAAAGATATATAGGGACCGTTTACATTAAATCGGGCGAATATATATGGGAGCTATATCTTAATCTGAACCGATTTTTCCCAATTTCAATAGGGTTCGTCCTTGGGCCGAATAAGTGACCTATGCCAAATTTCATTCAATTCGGTTTATAAATGCAACCTGTTCATTGTTTACAATTTAACATCAACAGACAGACGAACGGACGGACATGCATAAATCGACTCAGAAAGTGATTCTATGCATATTCTCAAAAGGAATCATGTGTCTATCTCGTTTCCTTTTGCCTGTTACAAACATATGCACAAAGACATAGTACCCTGTACCACAGAGTGGTGAAGGGTATAAAAACGTCGCAAAGTTCGGCCGGGCAGAACTTTTATACACTCCACCATGAGGTAGACATTCAAAATACATAAAATCGATCGGAACTGTTTTTATTAAGTCGTGAAAAATTACTGCTATAAGAAAATGCAATACGAACCTTGACCTATGATCTTGAACGTACCAAAAATGGCGAGTGACGTCTTTATGGATATATGAGTCGTAATATTTGCTATAAAATAAGTGATCTGTTTATATCTTGCCAAAAATTGCATATCGCTACAGTTTTATCAAACTTAGATTAAGTCTTAACATGGGCCCCATCGGTCGATTCTATCTGATACCTTCTCCAAAAATTTTTAAGTTTTCATAGGCTCATATTTTATAGATACCAGTCTTTACCAATTCATACTTCTAAATCTCATTAAAATCGTATTAGCATCCAAAACTTTTTACCTCATCTAGAACAAACCGGCAATTTCTCTTGATACTTCCCCACATGTAGTCAAATTTTTGAAAAATTTTAAATCTCATTTCTATATGCAGCCAACTTCGCTCGTCGTTGCTGTAGTTGTTATGTCTAGATCTTTTTAGTTCAGCTATTTTCAGTGAATTAGGTCGGTCTTCTAGTTCAATAGCTGTCGTTTTAGTTCGGTCGTTCTTTTATTGGTTCATCGCTTCACGAATCGTTTAGTTGGTGTTTACGACGACGTCTCCACAACACAAAGACGTTTAAAGGCATACGAATATAAACGAGGATATAAATTAGTTCTCTCTCTCCCCACCATTCTAATGGGTCCTTTTTCCGATCGATCATTAATGTATTCCTCCAATTCTATGATGCCTGCCGCTGTGTTGTTGTCGGAGTCACATAATCTGATAAGTTTCTTGATCGAAAGTGGACCAAAATTCCAATGTTTTGTCAGTCGTCGGGCACTGTGGAGTTTTCAGCTCGTGGTTTTCTTCATCGTTCGGCAGTGTTATCGAAGATATTCCAGACCTTAAGTTCGTTAATGCATTATTATACGCAATATCCGTTTTGAATCCCCTTCTTTTAAATATCGGATCCAGTATTGTACTTTTTGTATTAAAGGGATTTCTTTCCGAATCTCCAAAACGGACATAGAGCTCTCTTCTCGGCCGCTGGTTGTTGTAGGAGTTACATAATCTGATAAGTTTCCTGATCGAAAGTGGACCAAAATTCAAATGTTTTCTCAGTCGTCGGGCACTTTGGAGTTTTCAGCTTGTGGTTGTCTTTATCGTTCGGCAGTGTTATCGAAGATATTCGAGACCTTAAGTTCGTTAATGCATTATTATACGCTATATCCGTTTTATATCGCCTTCTTTTAAATATCGGATCCAGTATTGTACTTTTTGCATAAAAGGGATTTCTTTTAGAATCACCAAAACTGGTTTGGAGCTCTCTTCTCATTATTGTTAACATTACCTACACTTTTTCGTTGTTGGAGGAAGCTCGTTAAAATATTGCACATAATCATCACATTTAAGAGAGTTGTATCCTTCTTGGCCGATACCTCCAAGGTAATTTCATAAAAGGACTTCATAATAGCAGATGCTTCTTTAACCCTTTATGGCCCAATGTTGCTCACAGACATCAAAATGTTTTAGAGCTTATCTCTAATATGCTTCTAGTAAATATAAATTCTTCGGACTTCGTACATCAAGACCTGATTATGGACGACACATATCAAAAGAAAAATCTAAAAAATTCAAATTTTGAGTAATGTTATGAGCTTTCCAATATAGAGAGGAAGGCAAATTGTTTTTGATTCTTGTAAAATTATTTTTCCTGTCGATTTTGCATTGTTTTTCCCAAATGCAAGGATGTAACGATGTCAAATTTTGTTCATATCCTAATTAGGATAGTTGCATTAAATCTGTGAACAGAAAAAAATCAGGGCTCAAAGGGTTAAGAATTTCCCACTTATTTAACCCTTTATGACCCAATGTTGTCCACAGGCAACAAAATGTTGTAGAGCTTTTATTTATTACTCAGCAAGTACATATATATATATATATATATATACATTTTTTTGATTACATATTTTAAGAGCGGATTATGGACGACACATATCAAAAGAAAAATCTAAAAATTCAAATTTATAGTCAAGATATACGCTTTCAATACATAGATGAGTGCAAAAATATGTACAGTACCAAATTGTGTATACAGTCCAAATTGTTTAAATCGATTCGTATTCGAATTGTACGAATTCTGTCATCAGAATTATATTGGATTCTTGTAAAGAAAAATATAGAGAATCAGTCAAAATTCGATTTTGCATTTGCTTTTCTTGACATTGGACTTTTATTTTTCAGCAAAAATGTACTCTATCTCCCGAATGCAAGGATGTAACGATGTCAAATTTTGTTCATATCCTAATTAGGATAGTTGCATTAAATCTGTGAACAGAAAAAAAAATCAGGGCTCAAAGGGTTAAGAATGTCCCACATATTTAAAAGTAATAATAAATCTGGTCGGATCTGAGATATAGTGAAAATTATTGCGTCTATCATCTCATATGTGGAGCTCCACCTAGTTGGGACTGACTGCCCATCATTTGATGGTTATTCAACAGTTTCTTGGAATCCTTGGCGCTTCTTCGGAAGTGTTCCACAATAGATTTTACCTTTTTTTTAATTTTGGCACTTCAACTATTTTTAGTTCATGGTAACCTTTCGTTACCATTTTCAACACTTGCCTCTCGATTAGAGTTGGGTAGTTCCGGAACGAACTAGTTCATTGGATCTATTCCGAGAAAAGAACGATCAGAACTAGTTCCAACTCTTCAATTAATATAGTTCCTTTTTCTGATCTCGTTCCTTGTTGGTCTCGCTCGTTTTTCTGATCTCGTTCTTTTTTCTAATCTCGTTATTTTTTCTGATCTCGTTTTTTTTTTGACTGATCTCGTTACTTTATTCCCATATTCATAATTCGTTCGTTTTTCAAATGATGTGTGCCAAGTTTCGAGAAAATCGGTTCAGATTTAGATATAGCTCCCATATATAGCTTCGTCCGATTTAAGGTAAATGGTGCACCAAAGTCCCTATATATCATTCGATTTGCACGAAATGTGGCACAGCGTAATGAATTAGGTCTAGAATGATGTGTGTTAAGTTTCCTGAAAATCGATTCAGTTTTAGATATAGCTCCCATATATATTTAGGTCCGATTTAATGTAAATGGTGCACCAAAGACCCTATATATCTTTCGATTTGCACGAAATTTGGCACAGCGTAATGAATTAGGTCTAGATTGATGTGCGTTAAGTTTCCTGCAAATCGATCCAGATTTATATATAGCTCCCATATATTTTCATCCGATTTGAGTTAAATGGGGCACCAAAGTCCCTATATATCTTTCGATTTGCACGAAACTTGGCACAGCGTAATGAATGCGGTCTAGAATGGTGTGTGTTAAGTTTCGTGAAAATCGGTCCAGATTTAAATATAGCTCCCATGGTCGGTAAATCCACGTCAACCGGCTCAACATTTTGAGAAATCTGTATTACCATTGGCGTTTCTTGCCTTTCCATCACCATAGAAGTAAGAGGGTGTTTTCTCCTCACAAGTCGACTTTAAATCCCATGGAATCCCCCAGCGATGCACAGTCAAGTTGGCAATGTCGCCCTTGTCGATCCATTTTCTTTGAAATGAATCCATATAGAACTATGTTTCCTCTTTTTAATTGACAAAAAAAATTGAAAATTATAACTGCGTTCGTAATTAGCCAACATAAGATGCCAGCAACATAAAAGGTTGGAATTTGCCACCACAATGTGTTTGCATCACTTCCTACATATAGCACAAGTGGTTAATGGTATAGTAGATCCCGTCCGGCTTTGGCCATGTTTAATACTTACGATTGAACATTTTTATGATCCTGTATACAATTCTTTAACTCTGCCACATTATCCTCCACACCCCTTGTCGCCTCTCTTCCAACACGTTGAATACGATCTGCCAATGCCCGAACATGATATATCATCAATGTTATATAACACAACGGATACATATCATTGTTACCATTTTGAAAGACAGTAAATGTCTGAGCTAAATTTTGGAAAATATATGCAGCCAAATAATTGCTACGCTCGTCGGCAAAGAGTGTGGGAAACCAACCACTGTACACCAATGTATGATTACTCCAACCGATGCAGGCGAAACCAATGGCACAAAAACCATAAAACGAAATATACACGGTGGAATACCAATGACACAAACGTACAGCCGTCAAGATACGCATACGATCCTGTGGATGGTCATTGCTACGTTCGTCCAACAGACGCAAGTAATGATTTGCCTTCAAGAGTCGACTGCGACAATATAGAATGGCCAATTCCTTGGTCATCGATATGGCAATGGTCATACTCAACGACAAATTTCCAATGATTTCCTCCAATGATTTGAGCATGAACAGATTGGCCAACATGGAGGCGGGTAGACAAAAACCTGCCAGGATATTAATTACCACTGCATACACAAGGTAGACGGTACGCCAGACTGGATGTTGTTGTACGGCCGCAGGAGGATGTATACCGATAATGGAGAAATTCCACCAGAGATATTTTAGGCCATAGACAGAGTTTAATTGTTGGCCCACATCTTTAGGCTGTCTCAATTGCATGTTGTTGAGTGTCCAAAGGTGAGTGAGTAGGTAGGAAATCTGTCTAGAGATGTGGCGACCTGAGTGCTGATGAAAATAATTGTTTGGCAATAGGTACGTAACTCGTTTTCGACCGTTTTCCGTTCGGTTACGTTTGACAAAGTTGTCGAACTTTGGGGTAAATTGAAAAATGACTGACTGGTTAAATGAATTTTCTTACAGGCAGTTTTTATAGCATGTCTAACGAATTTATGGTTGGCTGTTACTGTTTCCGCTGGTGTGGGAGGCCTGCTGTTTTGAAGGTGTTACGGTTTTTAATTAAAGGGTTGATTAGTAGTAGGTGTTACGATTTGTAGGTGTAAAGGAAAAAAAATTGATTCTAACATGAGGTCCTTTACATTACAGTTGAAAAAAAAAATAAAGTTATTTTACAAGGACGCTATATTACCTCTTATAAATGTCGAGGAAAAAATAACTTAAAATCAAATTTTCTTGCATGCCTTCACATACATATCAATCACGACCTCATATAAATCCCAATAAACGTATAAATATTTTCTTAGATTTCTCCCACACTTTCAAATTTTGTTATCTACACAGGGCAATTGTACTTCATGATTATTAATCATTTTTTTCATATGAAACAAAAAAAAAAAATAATAATTACATACTTCTGGGAATAATATCTTCTTTAAATTTCCCTTTTCCACAATTTTTTTATTAGAAATTCCCCTAAGGAATTGTTGCCTTTCTCGTGTTTTGATTTTTTTCTTTCTGTTTCAACAGCAGCAAATATTGATTAACATCTGCAATATATTTCGCCTTAATCCAACAAAAATGAAAAAAGGACGCCATTTTTTTCGAACAGAAGAAGGCTTTGCGAGTAAATGATTCAATCCAATAATGGAGCAGAAAAACAAAAATGTAATGGTATTGAATACGCTTAACCATCCTATAATTTGTTTCTAATAAATCTCAAGGTATTAACAATAAAAATTAAGTTAAATCTTTGACTTAAGCGAAGGCGAAATGAAAACGTAATTGGAGAAAAATAAAACCAGTAAGGAAAGTAGTAAAGTCGGACGGGGCCGACTATATGATACCCTTCACCACTATGGGTATATTGAACAGGACTATTAACATGAAATTGGATGAAATAAAATATGTGATATTTATCTAAATGTGAATCTACCTAGATCTATCCATAAAGTATGTAAATCGACTACAAACAAATACTGGGCTATGCTCAATTTTGTAAGTTGTGCAAAATTTGATGTCTATCTGACTACATGAGGAGTTTGATGCCCAATTTACTTAACATCGGGCGAAAATATATATGCAAGCTCTACCTAAATATTAAGCGATTTAAAACAAACATGTCACAGGTTAGGTTAAAGTAATTTCAGAACGCTTTGTTCCTATCAGCCTATTGGTTCCTTGGTGCGTCACTAAAATACCTTGGTGCGTTACTTAAAATCAATCTATAATAAAAGGGAGCTATATCTAAATCTGGACCGATTTTCATAAAAAAAGCAGACATCACTCTAGGCTCAATTCAGTTATTCTTTGAAAACAATAAGGTCCCCATATAGAAGATCATAAGATAATTTCAAAGTCTACCAATTTGTCTTTTCTTTCTGTAAAATTTCTAACAATTTCATCGCTACCCTCGTTACCATTCCCAACCTTTGCAAATATCCAAGACTAAAGAAACAAAACGAAAATACAAAAAAAAAACCAGTAAGGAAAATAGTAAAGTCGGACGGGGCCGACTATATGATACCCTTCACCACTATGAGTATATTAAACAGGGCTAATAACATGAAATTGGATGAAATAAAATATGTGATATTTATCTAAATGTGAATCGACTTAGATCTATCCATAAACATGTCATTCGTTTGTTACAATGGGACAAAAGTATGTAAATCGACTTCAAAAAAATATCAATAGGTCATCCGTTGGGCTATGTCTGTACTTCTAGAAAACGCAACTACGTAATTCTATGCTCAATCTATAATAAAAGGGAGCTATATCTAAATCTGGACCGATTTTCATAAAAAAGCAGACATCACTCTAGGCTCAATTCAGTACGTTAAGCCAAATTTCGTGCAAATCGAAAGATATATAGCGACTTTGGTGCACCATTTACATGAAATCGGACGAAACTATATACGGGAGCTATATAGAAATCTGGACCGATTTTCTCGAAACTTGGCAGACATCTCTCTAGGCTCATTTCAGTACGTTATGCCAAATTTCGTGCAAATCGAAGGATATATAGGGACTTTGGTGCACCATTTATATATGAAATCGGACGAAACTATATATGGGAGCTATATCTAAATCTGGACCGATTTTCTCGAAGCTTGGCAGACATCACCCTTGGCTCAATTCAGTACGTTGTGCCAAATTTCGTGTAAATCGAAAGATATATAGGGACTTTGGGCACCATTTACATGAAATCGGACGAAACTATATATGGGAGCTATATCTAAATCTGGACCGATTTTCTTGAAACTTGGCAGACATCACTCTAGGCTTAATTCAGTACGTTATGACAGATTTCGTGCAAATCGAAAGATATATAGCGACTTTGGTGCACCATTTACCTAAAATCGGGCGAAACTATATATGGGAGCTATATCTAAATCTGAACCGATTTTCATGAAATTTTACACACATCATTCTAGACTCATTCCAGTACGCAATGCCAAATTTCGTGCAAATCGAAGGACATATAGGGACTTTGGTACACCATTTACATTAAATCGGGCGAAACTATATATGGGAGCTATATCTAAATCTGAACCGATTTTCTCTAATTTTAATAGGGTTCGTCCTTGGGCCAAATAAGTGAACTGTGCCAAATTTCATCCAAATCGGATCATAAATATGACCTGTACTTTGTTAACACAAATACATGGACAGACGGATGGACGGACAGACGGACGGACAGACGGACATGCGTAAATCGACTCAGAAAGTGATTCTATGCATATTCTCAAAAGGAACCATGGGTCTATCTCGATTCCCTTTGCCTGTTACAAACATATGCACAAAGACATAATACCCTGTACCACTGTACCCTGTACCACGGAAAACGGAAACAGGAACAGGAACAGCGGCAACGGGGAACGAGCAGCTATGAACTTATCCTTTTTTTGGTGCGGTAAAACACGAGGTGGGTAAAGGAAAACAAGAGTAATGTCTTCCATTGATAGAAAACCTCATACTTTCTATAAGGATGCCCACGATGTATATTTGGAGGAAGACAACATAGTCCAGAATGTCTTTTTATAGAAGAACTAAAGGTCTATTTACAGAGGAGGAGAATGTCATTTTCTAAAAGATCAAAATTTATTTTTATAGAAACCAGAAGGTATTCGCTTGGAAGAACTGCAATCCTTCTTGTAGAAGGCGGTCCTCTGACAGCAATTTAGCAGGTCATGTTATCGAATACCGAAAAGTCGATTATATGAGGATAGAAATTCTCCTTTTACCTCTTTAAAAATATCAATAAGTCTTATATCATAGACTTAAATGTCTTCTTATATTATAAGACTAGAGGAGACCTGAAGAACTTCTTACGCGAGATCAGAAACTCTTTTTACGGACTACAAGGAGGTATCCCTCAGATGTCCTAAAACAATTCGCTCTTTTTCGGTTCGTTCCGCAAAAGAAATTCATTTATTTAGTTCCAACATTCATTGGTACACGTCAGTTAAGTCAATTGTCAATGAACGGAAAGATATATCTGAACGAGGAACTGGGTGCAAAAAGGAACTACTGGGGCAAAGGGAACTAGATGAACGAATAAGCCGGTTCCGATATTTCCTTTTGCGGAACGCCCAACTTTAAACTCCTTATAAAATACCATAAAATCCGTTTAAAGAACCACAAAAAGAGATTCCCATAGAAGATTTTAGTAGTCAGGAAGGTTACCTTATAGGAGAGGACAAGGTCATCCTATAGAAAATGTCAAGATGGTGTTATAGAAGACCAGAAAGTCTTCTCATAAAAGAATAGAAGTTCCTCTTTTTGAAAAGTAGAAGATTTTCTTGGAAGATATGCGAATGTCTTCTTGTAGAAACCCAGAAATCCTTCTCATAGATTAAAAGACCTGATGGGTTTTTATTATAGAATAAAAGAAAATATTCTTATAGAAAAACGGAAGGTCTTCTTATAAATGAGAAGGTTTTCCCTTAAAAGAGCGGAATTTCATAGAATATTATAGTATGACTTCTTATCGAAGAACTAAAGGTCCACATATAGACTATGAGATAGTCCTCCAGTAGAATACCACAAGGCCTATTTACAGAACGTCGGTCTTGGGTTTAAGTATGCCTTTTGTTTTCCTTTAAACTACCAGAAGGTGTTTTATAAAATATCTGAATTCTTTTCTGAAGAAAACCACAATGTTTTCTAATAGAAGTTTAGAATGTATTTTATAAGAGACCAGGTCGACGTTTTATAGAAGACCAAACAGTAATTTTATATACATTTTTAAATAACACCACCACCATTAATTGTTCGGCTGTGCTTTGTTTTGATATCGTCCTCCGCCTCTCCCATTATTTGGTGTTGGTTTTTATACCCTACACAACTATGTTGTCAGAGTATTATAGCTTCGTGCAGCCCCAAGAGTTTGTAACGCCGAGAAATATTGGTCCTAGACACACCTTTAAGTATACCGATCTTCATATCTCGACTAGCTGAACTAGACATATGTGTCCGTCAGTCTGTCTGTGCATTATAATTTGTAAACACGATACAGGCCACAGTTATGGACCAATCCGAACTGTAGGATAGGTTCTGGCCAATGAAGACCGCTATTGTTTTTGGTAAAGATCGGTTATAATTTAGGGGATGAAATGGACAAAAAACTTAATTGTTGTCCGATTTCCTGATCGCTCCAGAGGCCGTAATTGTGGTTCAAACGACTCGAATTTTTACGTGGAGCATGGTCAATATTTATCGGCTCAAATTGACCCTGACTTTTGTGTGAAAAATTACAAAAT